AAAGGAGAAGTAGAAGCGACACCAAAGATCATTAAAAAGTGAAAAACCAGTGCCAATGCTCCAGTTCCACAGAGATATTCCCACAGCAAGTCGCTCCAGGTAACACGTTTATACTCCGTGAACTGAAAGATCACAAGTAATGACCAAAGAAGGAATGTGGTAAGCAGACCCAGACAGGATAAGATCAGAAAGACTTGTCCTAAAGCGGCATCACCAACAGTCCTCTTGAAAAACACCTTAGAAAATTAGATCAAACAATTTACACGCAACTGACCGACTTTCAATCGACAGTTGAGAGTATTCCGGGATTGAATTGCTTTTGCTCCAACTCGCTCAGTGACTAATGTGGAAAACTAGCGCATCCTCTGTACTAATCAGATAAGAAAACTTACACCAATCGTTTTAATTACTTTGGTCTTGGTTTTACGACACTAAGTAAAAAACGCTCTAGGGAACACAGAGCTGGGAGAAGTCTCAACTCGTTACTGATATATATATATATATATATATATATATATATATATATATGTATGTATGTATGTATATATGTATATATAGTTCAAAATGACTAAAACTGTATTTCGCTCTACACTCACGTGTATTGAGCACTTTCCAACAGCATTTGCTTCAATTTCCCACAATTATATGTATGTATGTATGTATATAGAAATAAATGTGGGGGTAGAGTCTACCTTGGCATAAAGTGCTCAATGCTGTGGTAGCAGAGCTAAGTATACATAAGTTAAAGAATTAAAGAAGACGCATCGATTCTCTGACAGAGAACTTTAAGGTCGTACATTTTAAAAACATTTATTACTTAAGGCCATTCATTTAAACTTAATTACTTAAGGGTTGTTTACTGGTACTGTTTTATATAAGCCGTTTTGTCGTAAACTTAAATGGCTCTGTTACATAGCGCCTTTGCCCAGATACTGATATTGATCCCCTTTTGGATGAAATGATCGTAAAATGCGACTGTTAAATGTTCGTAAAGCGCCCGTTAAATGTTTGTAAAATGCGACTCTTAAATGTTCGTAAAAGTACGTAAAATATTCCTAAAATGCGACTCTTAAATGTTCGTAAAATGCGACTGTTAAATGTTCGTAAAAATACGTAAAATATTCCTAAAATGCGACTGTTAAATGTTCGTAAAATAAAGAAGGAAATTTGCCGAATCTTCAACTGCAATGGACTACGTATCACCATCGAAGCAAACAAAAAGATCATCAGCTTCCTAGACGTCACTTTCAACCTAAACAACAGCACCTACCAGCCCTACACAAAGCCTAACACCACACTACAGTACGTACACCGCGAGAGCAATCATCCACCGATATCGGACACAAATTCCTCAGCCTAACAGACAAACATTTCCCTGAGGATCACAGCCTCCGCAAGATATTTAACCGCAACACCATCAAAATCAGTTACAGCTGTATGAACAACACCAAACAGGTCATCGACAACCACAACAAGCGCATCTTACACTCGTCTCACTCATCTTACACGAAAGACAGCAAAGACGGCACGGGAACCAACAAAACATGCAACTGCCGACAAAAGAACAATTGCCCGCTCAATGGTAACTGCCTTCAATCCTCAGTCGTTTATCAAGCCACCGTCACACGGAACGACAACAACACCTCTGAAACATACATTGGACTCACAGAAACCGACTTCAAAACAAGACACAGAAATCACACCGCATCATTCCGCCACGCCAAGCACAAAAACTCTACCGAACTTAGCAAACACATCTGGACACTCAAGAACGACAACATTGACTATTCTATTTCATGGCGCGTCTTATCATCTAACTGTCCCTACAACAGCTCCAGTAAAAGATGCAACCTTTGCCTAAAAGAAAAATTCCTGATAATTTACCGACCCGACCTCTCATCACTAAATAAGCGTAACGAACTCGTATCTTCATGCCGACACAGAAACAAAGCGTTGCTACGCAACAGCTGAACTTTAATCTCTATCGAACTCTATCGCTCTGACGAAGGGCTAACGCTCGAAACGTCAGCTTTTTTACCCTTTACGGTGGCTAATTTACGTTTTCAACCCAGTTGTTAACACTAAATTACCTGCTATACTCTCCCACTGACGCAGCACCACAGTTTCTTTAGAAACTTACCCCTTTATTCATTAGCTGAACTTTAAGTTTACCGCGTATTATGTCAATTTTCCTAGTATATACACGATAGTCACATGAATATTCTTTCATTAAACCCCTGAAGAGTGAAGCGATTCACGAAACAGGCTTGTCGGGAAATGTAGTTGCGTCCTTTTTTCCTCTCATAATATTTATATATATATATTAAACCCCTGAAGAGTGAAGCGATTCACGAAACAGGCTTGTCGGGAAATGTAGTTACGTCCTTTTTTCCTCTCATAATATTTATTCTGCTCTGCTTCAACGTATTGAGCACTGTTCCACGCGAAAATCGACTTGCAGACTTCCTATATATATATATATATATATTGAGATAGGGAAAAAACGAAGAGACTATACTTTCATCCCTACAAGCCTGTTTCGCGATTACTTACTCATCAGGGGATTTTATTGTATATCGCGCTCTACTTCTATGTATCGAGCACTGTGCTACGGTAAAATCGAAACACAGACTTCCTATGTATACATTTATATATGGACAAGACTCATATCATATGGACCTTATATACTGCAGCACCGATGGCAGCCCCCGCGCAGAAAATAACCCCGACAGCATTCACTCCTTTAAAGCCATCTGCATAACCCATCAACACTATACCACCAGTAGAAAACAACACAAAAAAAAGGAAACGAAGATTGAAGTCAAAACTTTGCAACAGGTCTCAAAAAAAATACCTACCTCCTAAAAAGCCACCCTGAAAAAAAAAAATCAAGGCTGGGGTTTACTGTACTGATTCACAGAGCTATGTGTCGTAGAAGTATTTCAAAATAATGCTAAATGATCTTTTTACGTAAATAAAAGGAACTATTGACCTCAAAACATACCTCCACAACTGTGGCAACCATTGTCGTCCACGGAAACAACGTGCGTGACAGCCGATTTTTTTTGTTTCCCATTTATTGCGCGATGAATGATAAATTATCGCACGATACTTTTTATTTATCTCGCACTAATTTTTCATTTATCGCGCAATAATTTCTTAGTTATCGCGCGATGATTCATCATTTATCGCGCGATATTTTGAATTTATCGCGCGTTAAAAAAAAATGTAGCATGTCCTCTATGGGCAACCGTAGGATCGTAGCTTAAGAATAATCTCGATTTTGGAAACGAGCACGTGGCAATTGCAAGAACCAAAGCAAAGGTAAAAAACCAGCGATAAATTTTACTTTGAGTAACGACTACGAGCTAGATGACATAATCACAAAACAAATTATTGTTTACCAACGTGCGCGGGTCTTGATTACTTTATCGAGGATTACAGTCTAACTTATCTTCTATTCAAAGCCGATCTTGATCACACGGGGTCTTATCTTGAACTGAAACGCTAACTATAATTTTCTGTCTAAAAAGGAACTAATCACGGGCGCGTCAACCTAACCAAAAAATATTTCGCAGCTTTTTTCGGAAGCGGTAACACTTAGCTTCAACGGAAGCAGTTACAATAGTAATAACAATAATAATGATAATAAAATGATCAGCCCTAGAAACTTTTTTCATTCATTACAGGTTGATCGGATCTTTTGCTCGTGATCCATATCTTCATCATCAGCAGCTTATTTGTGGTCACTTGCATTATTTTCAAATTCATTACCATTACCCCTTACCCCCACCGTTAGGCAACAGCTCATACCTTAAAAATAGAAAGCTCCTCCTTTAACCAGCTCCATGATAAGAAGTATACAAAAGCATTAGAAGATGAGAACAAAGCAGAAACATCAGCAGCATGAATGATACCAAGTGTACGCACGTATAAGTGATTGATCACTACCCATGTGAGGCAAAATGGGCCAGCATGCATCAATAGCGACATCAGGTGGAGACCTTTACTACCAAATACCTTGTCACCCTCCCTGAAAGGGCAAAAGGTAAAACAGGTTAAGTCTATATGCTAGCCTCCGTGGCCCACCCAGGGGGAGCTTATCCCGGAAGAGTATTACTACTTCTCCCTGGATAGGATGCCAGTCGATTGCAAGGTTACACCCCAGAATTTCATCAGACTTCCCTGAACACTTGCTGGTATCCATTTCTACTAATGGGTGGACAGAGAGGCACTTTCAGAGTAACATGTTTTGCCCGAGCAAGAGACCAGGTCTCGAACCCAGACCTCTCCGGTCAGGTCTGGCATCTTAACCATTAAGGAAGGGCATCCCCTCAGTCTCTCACACTTACATAACATTATAAAAAAAATAGGAAAATGGTTGAAGGATTGCACAAACCTGTATAATAAAAGCATCTGTTTTCCTTAGAGCAAGCCCAGAAGAAAGTAAATTGGAAACACTAACACCATCCATATTGTGGAGAACCATGTGATCATAAATGGAACATCAAAGTCTGGTGAGTACATGCTCTGTGAAAACTGTGTTTTGCAAACCCAGGACACTACTGTGCCTATCACTATGACTGTGCCACTAAACATCTTGCAGGACTGTGTATTTTTAATACATCTTCTTTGTTTTACTTCAATATATAATTTTAAAAAAACTGTCAGGGATATTCTGGAGAAAAAAGTTACAGATTACATTCACCACTTTCACATCTGCAATTTGCATAGGAGAGGTAAATAATCCACCCCCATTTAATTAATCACTTGTTATCAGTTGACTGTTGTTGGGTGAGGAGAAGTGTGGGTGCAGGTTTCTCAAATACTGACAATGATCCAAGTTTCTAATACAGTTTTTAGCCCTTTAACCCCCAGGATCTGATTCACAACTCTCCTCTCTATAACTGTAGAACCAGAGAAAGCTTCAAGGTGGAAATGAACTTTTTTGCTGGTAGCCTGAGTACGAGTCCCTGTAACAGACTTTCTTTTTGACCAGCGGATAATGTAAAATGGCTGCCGTATTTTGACAAAGTTATCATCTCCTTCACCTTGTTTGGTCATGGTTGTTTGTCAATATTTCTTAAAGGGCGAGTGCCGATTTGGAGATAGTTGCCGTAATGAACATACTGCAGGTAAGCTCCATGGTTCCTTCACGCGGTTCTTCATTTGAAAAGTTTGCTATTACAAATATAATTTGATATCGATATTCCTCGTTTTTCAACAGAAAAACGGAAAACAGTTTGCCAGCATTTTTTGAATGGTTATTGTCGGTTTGGTGACAAATGCAGGAATGAACATCCTTCTGGAAGAGGTAATTGTCATATTATTTTAGTATATTGTGCAAATCGAATGTTTTTGTATATCTCAACTCGGATCTGTGAATTTACATGTACGAGTATTTTTTATTTATTTTTGTAGCTTCAAGCTAAGTCATCAGAAAAACTAAAATTACGAAGTTATACATAGAGTTGAGTTTACTAACTAAAGATAAAAAATACTGATCCACTTAATGAATGTTGTGTGTTAATTTGCAGCAAATACTGGATTCGGTCAACAGAATTCAGGATTCAGTGGAAGAAGTGGGCAATGGGGCAAATCTTATCCATCTAACCAGGTAAATAAACAAGAAATATATAGAAAAATCCAGATTTTTATTAAATGAGTAGTGTCTTTTCCATCGTAAGTTTCCCTATCCGAGAGTTTGGATTGAAAAGGTCACCCCTTGTTTTTGATCATTTGGAAAGGGCTCTAAATTTTCTCAATTTATTTACGCAACTTTTGTTTACAACACATGCAATTCAGAACAGTTCAGATAGCGCAAAATATGGACATAGTTTACAAAGGTTAATTCTTAAAAAAAAAAAAAAAAAAAAGGACTACTAGTTGAAGAAACAAGAAAAAATTCAGAACCATGTTCTTCTGTAGAAAAAGTTACATCAATACATTTTAAAAATTTGGAGCTTTTTAGAATGTGACCTAAAAACTGAGGAACAATTTGTAGCCTGAATCTTTTAAAACAAGCTGTTTATGATCAAAATAGTCATAAAATATGAACTGGTAGTTTATAATGAACAATATCAGTTGCTTTTCTTAACATCAATGATTGATACTTTTTTGTTGCCTCTGTGCGTGTATAGAACCGCTTTGATGTTTTGTCCAGAGAAACTCAGCATTCTAAAGGTGTGGAGGATGATATGACACCATCTCAAATTCAGTAAGATGAGTATGTTGTTTTAAAGATGCATGTCACTAAATGTGATTTAAACTAATCTTAAGGCCCACAACAATGCCTCTCAACCCTTTGGCAAAATGGGAGAATGTGTAGTCTTCTATTGGCTAGCATTTTATCACCACTCAGGAAAGTGACGCTACATAAGAAAATGCTACTCACAGAATTGATGCTCAGTTTGTTTAACAAACTGAGCATCAACAGATACTCCTTTGTTGGTTCTAAAATCTAAGTTTGGATTTTTTCTTTAAATTAATAGAAGAACCATACAAACTGAATTGGCGATATGGGAAAAGAGTAAACAATGGCCATTGTCTTGTTTCACTTACACAAAGGAAGAACCATGCTTACCAGGTGAGTTGATATGAAGTTTTATGGCACAATCCACTCTTAAGGCTGTTTAATTGGCCTTTTGTTTGAACTTATTATAGGTGGATTGCAATAGCTTCTGTCACAGCCCCTTCTCTTCCCCCCCCCCCCCCCCTTATCTCCAATTGTATTGTGTTTTCCAATCTACTTTAGGAGTACCACCCAAGTTAACCCTTTAACTCCCAGGAGTGATTAACAGGTAATTTCTCCTAACAACATCCATATATTATCCAACAAACAGGTAATAATAATACTTTAACTTATCAGGTAGAAGTTGTTATTTTGAACTGATACCAAATTCTCCAAACTAATTTACAAGCAAATGTGTAGCCACCAGAGGGGAGAATTAACAATCAGATTTTGGGAGTTAAAGTGTTTAAAAAAGAACTATAAACACCTGAAAAATACTTGAAATGTTTATTGAACTCTAACCAATCACATAGGAGATCAGGACATGTCAGCAAACCATTAAACCGCAGATCAATGAATGTGACTGCATACAGTGAAGATTTCTCACACCTGGTTGACTTGTCTCCCCATCCAGAAATGTTTTCAGAAGTTACAGTTTTCTTACTCTTACTGTAAATATATTCTCTGTAGCGAGGTGTGGGGCTTGAAATTTTAAAGTTAACAGGTGACTTTATCAGGCATGCTGTAGCTGCTATAAGATTGTAGCCTTTTGAAAAGTTATGTGGTACTTGTGTTAAATTATTACTGAATGATGCCTTGTGTTATGAATGTTATTTTAGGTTTGCTGGACTTCTCTCCAGAAGAAATTCGCCTTGAGGCATACAATGCAAATGCTGAAGGGAAGGCTGATAGCTATGTAAGATGATCTATATCTGGATTTTACTTTAATCCTTTACACTGTAACATCAACATGCTTATTCTCCATACTGTTCTCTATACATTTCCTATGTTGCTGACAAGGAGAATTTGTTTCACAAGTAAGAGCTTTATTCGGCAATCCATTCCTTAAATTTCATAAATTTTTTATTCAGAGTTGTTACTGTAGGTGGAATTTAGATGCTAGTCACTCTTAGGGGTTAGGGGTTAAGATTCATAACTCAGAATTTTAAGGAAGAGATATTTGTTCTGACATGGGGTTGAATCAATATTTCCTCAGATATTTCAAACTCACTCTAATTATCCAATTTTTGGTTTTGTTTACAGCAACAAGGACTGAAAACTCTTATCACTGCTAATCAACAAAAGCGGCAGCAGTTAGGACGCATGTCAGTCTCACAGATTGTAAGCTCAAATAATAAACCTTTTATACAGTATTCTGTCCTTGAACACATATAGCAACAAACAGTTTTGTCTATCTTTGAAAATAGTGATGAGAAAGTTGTGAGTTATCCTCCATGCACTAACGGGGATGATTGATGTCAGTGTCATGAATGGGCCTTTCTAGTGTTTAATTACTGGATATTACAGATTGATAAATGCCCAGAGTTGCTTGTCACTACCATCATTTAAATGTGATGATATGTTGTGAGGACCATTCTGTAAACCACTTATTGTAATGTTGGTTCCCTCAATAAAGATTGTATAAAAAAATATAGTCCTGATATCTGTGGAGACTCCCTAAGCCTATGTGCATGTTTCAGTTGTAGGTCATTGAATATAATTATAGTGATATGTTCTTTTTGAAACACTTGGACAATTTTGTTTTTCATTATCAGCAAGAAGAGATAAAGAAGCAGCGCAGCCATAAGGCAGCAGAGTCAATGGAAGCAGGATCATCAATGCTACAGACACAACCAGGGATAGGTTTTAATGGACATAGTTCATTTGGTCAGATGAGTAGTTTTGCAACTAGTGGCCCTGTTTTTCAGTCGACTGGCTTCTCATCTCCAGCAGCTACATTGAACCAACCTAGTAACTTATTCAGCACAAGTAATTCTACCAATCAAGTAAACCTGTTTGGACAGAGCAATGTCCCAGCAATGACTGGAAATGTTTTTGGGAATACTTTAAGTGCCAGCAATCAGCAAACTGGAATGACCAGTTTTCCTTTAACTGGCCATTCCACGACTATGTTTAGTACAAACTTAAGCCAATCAGCCGCTTCAAATACTGGCTTCTTTGGAGTAAAAACTGAATCAAAACCTGGAGTGTTTGGTTCTGTACCTTCGCAGACAGTGACTGGGGTTTTTCCGAGTGAATCCCAAGTACAGAAAGGCAATGGATCAAGCAGCTCAATGGTAGGTGTATCTGGTCATTTTTAACAGCAGCAAAAACAGAGGAGCAAAGCTGTTACTTTAATTTCACAAACTGGCCTAGGGCCTGACAATTTTTTCTCGTGGAGGGTGTTGGTGGGTAAGCTGAGCTGGTCCAGTGTTTCATCCCAGGGGTGAAAGGGAGTGATTGCTCTCAATGTGCCTCGTGACAAGGCACCCTTAATAAACTACTTTCCCTCGGAGAAAACGTAAACCTTTGAAAGCAAAGATAGCTGGTCATTTTGCTGGGAATCGTTTCGCCCAGAGTCATATCCAGCTAATAATTGAATTTGTTTTGCCCGAAGGAGAATGCACCCATTGTTTTATCACTACAATTTTACATTGAAGCAAAACTTACACCTTGTTCAGCTTGCACGTTGAGAATGAAACAGAAAAGAAAATACAAGGAATATGAGTCTAAAGCCAACACTGTGCCGCCCAGTTTCTTAACCCTTTCACTCCTGGTAAGATCAATATTTCAATTCTCCACATGATCTCGATACAATGCTTCGCAAGCAGTTAAAGAGAATGAAAAGTATTATCAAATAAGGGCTGCTCCTTTGATCGAATACAGAATTCTCAACTTAAGCTAAGAATGAAATTATGGCGATATGTTTCGGGAATGTGCTCTCAGATCTTGGCACTGAAAGGACTAAAGCTTTTTCCCATTTCAAAGGGTCAGTTAGAACACAGGAAAGTCATTTACCTCCAGTTTTGCGACTTTATTTTTTTCCTTTCTGAGCAACCGCTTCCTAAGATATGAAGGAAGTCTTTACTTGCTGGATCTTGATAAAGGCAGGTTTATATGCGAATGAAGTCTTTTGAGGAGCCCATTTAGCTCGCTTTCTTGGTCATTCTTGTCGCATCGATAAAACTTTCAATGGAATCATGATTTTGTGTTTATAAATCGATACGATCGTTACTTTTAGACAATATAACATTACTTCATTTCGTATATTTTGTCAAGAGTCTAAAACCAGAAGTTCAGTTGAAATCTTCGAGCGAAAGATACGAGAAAGTTATAGATCGTGTCTGTTTGTGATCTCTTTGGTTAGTCACTATCAAGTTTAAATTTTTCATCCTTACATTATTATTGTCATTAACAAGTTTGAATTTTTCTCCATGAGAGAAAAATGTTGAATGCAAAAACCAAGAATGTGTTGTGCATGTATTTCAGCGCTGTTTTGGTGGCAGCACCCTTGTGAAAAGACCAGAGATTTTTGTGCTGTTTCGTATTCACTGCTGTACGAATAAAATGGCATTGTTTGGTAATAACTATGGCTAAATAACTTTGAGCAGAAATTACATATTCATGTAGTGAATCGAAAGTTTATGAATCAAATTAGCGAGTTTTTTTGCGACATGAAATTTGGGGAAAGAAGACTTAATGCAGTGGGAATAACGGGCTTGAACTTGTTTTGATTTTTGTTCTCTCTACAGAGATCTACTCCAGAAGCCACCTCATCAATGGAACAGTCAACAACTGTACCTTTGAGTTGTAGTGAAGAAGATATGCAGGCCTTCAGGGCGGACAGTTTTGTGCTTGGAAAGATACCTGAGTGTCCACCACCATTAGAATTATGTTAACAGCTTTGATCCTTGAAAGGCTGAGATATTCTTGGCAGCTAGTATCTTGTAAAATTTAGCTTGAATTATTCATTTCTTCATTTTCTATTCCTGTCAATCCGGCTTCACCTTCCTAAACCGTCGTTGTCCGCTTTTGGTTCGCTAGCATCTCTTTGGTGTTTTTCTACCCGGACTTTATTGTTATGTTGGGTTGCAGTGACGGTAAAACTAGCTGCAGACCTCAACACCCTTTTACGAAAGGCACCAAGGACTCTCGGTCTGTCTTTTGTCAGTGAAGGAGGTAAGTTTCTAAGAAAACTGTGGTGCTGCGTCGGTGGGAGAGTATAGCGGGTAATTTAGTGTGAACAACTGAGTTGAAAACGTTAATTGGTCACCGTAGAGTGAAAAGGCTGACGTTTCGAGCGTTAGTCCTTCGTCAGAGCGATAGGAGAAATTGCGGATTGTGCTTAGGGCTAACGCTCGAAACGTCAGCCTTTTCACTCATTACGGTGGCGAATTTATGTTTTCAACTCAGTAGTTAACACTAGACTACCTGTCGTTTCTCAGTCCTTTTTAATCTCTCTGTTCTCTAATATACAATTCTACTTACATCAATTTTACTTCACTCTGACTGTAACTCTGATTGATCTCTCTCTGATTCTCACACTTTGATTCTCACCGGCTGAATCTCACTCTTTTACTTTTTACTAACCACTATGTGAACTTTAAAGTACATGCCTATATATTCACTATCGGTATAGGCATGAGTGGCCATGCTAGCTGACTGACCTTGAATATTAAACATTTGTTGTTAGATCACTAACCCAAACACTTTTACAAGAATCTCACAAATGCACAACAATGTATACTGAATGCTTCCGATCAACTGAATCCATCTTTGACTGTGTCAGCTAAAACAAGAACTTTCGTGTGGATCTAAAGCAAGATCAGTAGACAAGCTAAGCACTTGTACTGAAGGAAGATAGACAAGACAGTTAATTTGGAAACTCGTAGCGAGAGCTTAAACCGAAATAACTTCGGACTTTTAATTCATACAGTGACTACATGCTAAATATTAACGAATGACCAAATTATACTGAACTAACTAAGTACTTCATAGCAGTCAGAACGGTTTCCCCTTAAAAACTCTTAAAATATTCATTCCTTATGAAGCGTGGATCAGTTGCATGAACACACACAATAGTTTTGGTGGACAGAATGGTATTCGCTCGACAGTATCTTCCGGCTTTCATTGAAATTTTCCTTGACAATTAGAATACAGATCTATCAATGAGAATCTGCAAAGCAGAATCATGGCAAATGTAGATAGAACAGAAACGAGAATGTAATCAGAGAAACTCCATTGAAATTATTTGTACCGAATTATAGAGGCCGGAAAACATTTTTGACTGAAAAGGATCACTGAAAGAAAGTTTAACCAAGAACACTAATTGGATAAATTTTTATTTCCTCTTTCTGTTATTCATGTCTTGAACAAATTTGCCGCCATTATGACCGTACTGTTCACGCTTGGCTGCCATCTTGCGCCAGATTCTAACCCTTTTAAGAAATAAGAAAAGTAAACCGTCCATTTTGTCGTAAACACTCGTATCATTCTCGCCGCCAAATTTCCCTCCAGCTAAACACTTGTGGTCAGTGAGCAAAAATAAAAACCGCAGCCTTTGGTTCGAGTTCAAAGTAGTTGTTCATCGGATATTGGCAAGAAGTCAGACGAAGGGAACGGGTCGTTTGAAAGAAAATTCCTTGGAACAAAAGGTTCCGCCTTTTGCTTGCCTTAAATAGCGATAAATGATCGTTTAATTTATATGAAAGTTCACAAGAAAGTAAGGAATCCATCGGTGTGGGTAGGTTAACGATAAACCTACCCACACCGACAAATACCTCGCTTTCGACTCTCAGCATTTTCATCGATAAATAATGAAAGAATTTCAGCACAAAACAGAATCTAAATGCTGGCGGAAAGATTGTTTCGACAGTGATGCCATGGATGACTATTGGCTGTCCTGATAAATGGCCATCAACAGGTTTAGGTATGTTACAACGAGTTCCCTTTCGTTAACAGTCGATATATCTAAAAAAAATCTAAAATAACCATCACAAGTTTGTTAAATGACGGCATTTTTTTCGGACAATAAACAAAGAAATGGACATATCTATTGTGAGTCTATTTCTGTTTCACACCAATGTAGCAGGCCAATTAAAGGTGGTCAACATCAGTTCATTAAGCTGAGTTTTTATGATCTTTCGATATCTCATCACTTTACGTCCTCGAACATATTCCCTTCCCCCCTCCCACAAGGTTACTGTCGATTCTGTCATATTGTCAAACTCTGAAAAACGAAAAGCAACCAAACTTTTGAAAGTAGACGACGCGACTGTTTCCTTTTTTCCCACAAGCGACAAGATAATGACTTATTTGTCTAAAGGGGTGTGTTCCACGGTTGCTTATCTAGGAGGTTAACATGCCGAGGTTAAAGACCATTCAAAGCTTTGTGATACACTATGTTTGCAAGAATAATGAAAATAAACCTCCTAAGCTTTTGTTAAGCGATCCAGTGGGAGGGATGTTTTTGATGTGCGGTTAATTTATGCCTAAACATGTACGCGTAGTTTATACAGCTTCGCTGTGTAACAATATATCTGCTAATTACCAAAGCGACTTTTGGAAAGCTAAGGCCGAATATTGGTTTTCTTTCATGGTTTGTTTCGCGAATGCTTTTCTGCATTGGCATCCAGTTTCTCGTACCAGTAATCAGTGAGGCACACCTTTATCTTTGGCACTGAAGCATGACCTTGAATACCTCCACAGTATTGTCATTTTCAACTGTCAAAAATGTCTTATAATCAAGCTTGCGGACAAGAATGCCGTCTACTAAAATAAACTTGGAATTCTCTATCTTGTAACGTGAACGTTAACGTTGAGTTGATCGTATAAATTTTTCTTTTAATTTTCAAATTGTTAGAGTGTTTACCGCCTCCGTTGTGTTCGTGGTTGATCACGGTTCACCTCATATGACTTTCGTGATAAACCTGCAATAGTGGATTGTTAAACCCAATTAATACAGCTTTACAGCTTAAAGCCAACAACTGTTGTCCATTGCTGATATCTCTTCAACAAGGCTACCTACATCATTAACTGAAAAGCTAATCACCCACACATACTCTTTTTACAGTTTTGATAGTTTTGCTTTTGGAATATTAACAGTAAATACTAAGAGAGCTCTCAGCATTTTGCGAGACTTATATTTCGAGCTGTTGAGTACTAGAGCAAGTTTATTGCAACTTGTTTCCTCTCACTGTTGAGGATCAACATTGATTGATTTAATCACCCCGGACGAATATTATCCCCTCTTAGCGCGAAAAGTGCCCTAACTACACAAAACTGAATTTCAAAATGATTTATTTGTGCAAAACCCATCAAACAAAATTGCTTCTGGTCGCCGCCAAAGAACTAGGATATGTTTGTATTCAATTTCTTTTTCGAATTTCCCTTTAAGTTCTTAGCTTCCCTTCTCTGTAGGTAGCTACGTAGATAGTGTCAAACAAGACAAATCACGGATAATTCTGAGAATAAGGTTACTTATGATTCAATCGATTCTTTCGCATCCTTTCTGTCTCACACTTTGATTTTATTTCGGCAGGGTTATCCACAGAAAGGTCCATGTTAGAATTCTTGAACTCCCTGAATTTGTTCATGTCGGTGAAGTTTCAGCGATAACTTCTGCAGTTCTTTCTGTTATTCATGTCTCTAACAAATTTGTCTCCATTATGACCGTACTGTTCACGCTCGGCTGCCATCTTGCGCCAAATTCTAACCCTTTTAAGAAATAAGAAAAGAAAACCACCCATCCTGTCGATGGTAAACACTCATGTCATTCTCACCGCAAAATTTCCCTCCAGCTAAACACCTGTGTTCAGTGAGCAGAGTAAAAACCGCAGCTTTTGGTTCGAGATTAAAGTAGTTATTAATCGGATATTGGCAATATAACAGAGGAAGAGAACGGGTCGTTTGGAAGAAAGTTCCTTGAAATAGAAGGTTCTGCCTTTTGCTTGCTTTTAATTGCGATAAACGATCGTTAAATTTCTATTTAAGTTCACAAGAAAGTGAGGTATTTGTCGGTGTAGGTAGGATTAAGTTGTCCAACTCTGAAAAAGAGAACGCGACCAAAATTTTAAAAGTAAAGACGATGCGACATTTTGTGTAACATTTTTCCTTTTTTCCCACAAGTGACAAGATAATGACTCATTTGCCTAAAGGGGTGTGTTCAGTGGTTGAGCAAGAACATTCTTGTTTATCTAGGAGGTTAGAGACCATTCAATGCTTTGTGATACAGTATGTTTAGAAAAGTAATGAAAATAAACCTCTTAAGTATTTGTTAAGCGGTTGTTTTTGATGTGCTCTTAATTTATGCCTGAATATGTACGCGTAGTTTATACAGCTTCACTGAGTAACAGTACCTTAGCTAATTACCAAAGCGACTTTTGGAAAGCTACGCCGGGATTTTGGTTTTCTTTTATCACTTGTATCGCGAATGCTTTTATGTACTAGAATCCAGTTTCTTGTACCAGTAATCAGTGAGACACACCTTTATCTGTGGCACTGAAGCATGACCTTGAATACTTCCACAGTATTGTCATTATCAATTATGAAAAATGTCTAAGAATGAAGCTTGCGGATGAGAATGCTGTCTACTGAAATAAACTCGGGATTCTCTATCTCGTAACTTAAATGCTGAGTTAATTGTGTTAACTGTTGAGTTTCATGTTTGCAAATAGTGATAGTTAATTTTCTTTATAAGCTATCAGAAAACCATCGGCTATCATGATGAGCTCTGGGGCAAAATGTCTAAATGTCTCAACTGGATGTAGCAATTACAATCATCTCCTTTACTAAGGATTCTCATACACTTATTGAAAAATAATTCACAAGGGCGATATTTTGACTAAGTGCATTGAGACACAAACTTATCCAAAGTATGCATTGCTTAGGGCAAAATTGTGTGGTTCTCATGTTTGCTTCCTAAGCGTTTCTTCTTGGGCTAATTATTTGAACTTGTGGCTGTCAAATTTGTTTTTATGTAGTAAGTAGCGATTGGTAGCTTTGCTCATTGTCGATAGCGGTTCACCCGATGCAAATAACTGCAGTCACGTACCAACGCGTAACTTACAAATTTCACTCAGAACGCAACCTAATTAAAAAAATTTTAGTCAAGAATCACAGAAGAAAAAATTAGCAAAATTATCTTTCACCCAGACTTCCTTTTGAACGCTACGATTCCCTTACCAGAGTTGATTATGTCTGTTCGATTAAC